TGGTGCTGACAGCAGATCTCCAGGACAGAGATCCTGGGGTCTGGCAGGATAAATCTACCCATCTTCCCTTTTCCTGTGATGTGAAGGACTTGCATACCTGACCTTGCTTTGCCACAGAAGAGAGGGGCAAAGCTGCGGTCGGTTTAATCAGGCTTGTTCTGCCATCCTGTGGGCTCAGTGCAGAGGACTTGTAATTATAGCGAGCACCTGCACAGCCTTTGGAGAGACCTGGGCAGGGTGGCTTTCTAGGGAATCTGTCCTTCCAGAATTACCCACATTGAGCTGTCTGGTCTGTGTTAGCAAGGTTACCCTCACTACGGGTCACGTACATCCACCTGCAGCTCTGAATCCCAGAACGGAGCATGAGATGCAAGACAGCAAGGTGGCAGCAGCTGAGATTTGCTTTTAGCAAAAATGAACTCGAGGGGGTTTGATGCTCCTCCCCACCTACCTTCAGCCAAACATCTCCAACTTCAGCAGAGCTAAAGGAAGATAACTGCTGAAGTGCTTTTCAGCTTTGCACGGGAGCACTGAGGAATAGAGGGACATGGTTTTAGGTGGCAGCAAACACTTTCCTTCATCCTTCTCTCCAGACTGAAGGCAGGTTCAGGTATTGGATGGTTCAGGAAAGTGGTCCTGCAGACCAGCCTTGAATCAGCCCCCTGCCCGTTCCCAGTGCACGTTATTCCTGGCGTCTGGGGAGTTTTCAGTAGTATTTGAGACTGCGGAGCAAACATGACTTGCCCCTCTTCGGAGCAACATCTTGATGAATTACTTGCACCCGTGTAAATTTTCTGTACCTGAGACTCTCTCCTCCAGATTCTCCTTAGTCTGAGGAGCTTCCAGGGGAGAACACCCCTGTCCTCTCTCTGCAGATGTTGTCACAGAGCAGAGAGGACCTTCTCTAAGGGCACTTGCCTTTTGTAAGCAGCAGTGCCAGCTCCTCTGCTAGGCATGTCCCCGAATGCAGGTAGCAGCACCGAAGCAGTGTGGCAGGTCACGGTCCTGCCCTGCCACGCCATCCACATCCCGCAGGCTGCCGCGCTCGCTGCTGCAGGTGCTGAAACAAGCCATGCCAAGGGAAAGCGGCAGCATCACTGAACCAAACGGCTTCAGTTCTGCCAGCAAGCCCTGTGCAAGCCAGCACACTCTCACACTGCCTGACATTCCTGTCAGCTGGCTTGTCGTGCTGAGCACTGGGTGTTAGCTGCTGGAAGGGCCTGTCTGACAGCAGTGAGCAAAACTCGGGGTGCTCGGACAGAGCCTGTGCTCAGTTCTGTGCAGCAGGAGGTTGTGCTGGGCTGTGGTCAGTGTTGAAAACCAGGGCATCCCAGTTTCCTGTGCTGCTGCTGCTGTAGAGGAGAGGCTACCTCACAGCAGAGCCGTCTTTCTGTCATTTTTCCCATCAGCTGTCTGTCACATCTGCCAATCTAATGATGACCAGCCTAGGTTGACCCTGATTCTGAGGCTTATTAACACCCTCTTACTGTCAGGCTTGGTGACAGATGGTACATCAGCCCTTGTTTTATTTCATGTAGTGTTCATGTTGGCTGCCCATTACCTCTCCCCAGTTCACAGTTTACCATTTTCAGCTCACCTTGGCAGAACAGACTCATCTCTGCGAGCTGTGGAGGACAGGACAGGGGTTTCCTTCATGCCAGCAGTTCTGGGGCTTTTGCAGGATGGCCGAGGCAGTCCCTCAGCATGCTGCACTGAAGGGGGTGGTCCAGCCCCACCATGAACCAGTTGAGTTATCCCAGCTGAAAATTGCACTTGTTCTGGCTGTGTTGGTTTTCTGCCCGCTCGGTGACTGAACTGACTCATCAGGGGCTGCAGATGAGCAAGGGAAGCAGCAAGGAGCAGATCTGCCTGGCAGTCCCCGATGACAGTACAGTGGGACGGGGAGCTCAGGACAATCCATTGGCAGAGACTTCTCTCCCCAGAGCTGCTGAGTTTGATGACACGTCCTGGCTCTGGGTTTCAGCCTCTTGCAGGGCTCCTGCCTGCCCAGCTGCCTCCTGCCGGGGACTGGAGCGGGGCGAGGGGCTTGCAGGGCAGGCAAGGAAGGTGTTGGAGCTCCCCCTTCTCACAGCTTGTGCCTGCTGGTGGGAGGGCCAGGGGGATGGCCTTGCTCCCCCTGAGGTCCCAGGCCAAGGGCAGGGTCATGCAGGTTGTCCTCCTCCACTTTCTCATGCTGTTCGTCTCATCTGCTGGTTGCAGGGTGCCAAGAAGCTCTGTCCCCAGTGTAACACCATCACGTCTCCCGGAGACCTTCGGCGCATCTACTTATGAAGGACCCAGCGGGAGGGCAGGACCCAGCTACTTGGCTCAGCTCATCACACCAAGGGGGAGAAGAACGACAGCAACAACAACAAAAAAAGACATTTTAAAATTTAAAGGAAAAAAAAATACAACAAACCAGAGACTCCAGACATGGACTCGAGGATACAGGAGCAGTGGGGAGCCTCAGCTCTCAGGTCCCGCATGTTGAGACCTCCTTCAGCATCTGCAGCGGGCAAAACCAAACCCTTTGTTGTGAAGCCCCCTTTTTTAAAACCAGTATTCCCCATCCACCCATTCCCGGGAGCTGGCTTTGCATCGCGGATGGCTCGTGAGCCCTCCTTTGGACTGTGTTGTTGACCACTCTGCCCCCAGGAGACTGGGGAAGGGACCCTTGACAGAAAGATGTTAAATAACCTGTAACTTGTGTTCTTTGTTCAGTTTTTTTTGTTTTGTTTTTATTTGTTTTGGTTTGGTTTTTGGTTTGGTTCTGTTTTGGTTTTTTTTGTGGTGTTCTAGTGATAAAAAAAGGTTTAAAGAAAAAAAAAAACACACCCAGGCAGAAATGAAGCACATGTAATATAGATTATATATGTTTACAATGTTGTGTATAAATGGGATAGACTCAAACATTACATACTAATAAGTTTCCCTTTCTTTTTTTTGGGTTGTATTTTTTTTAAAGAAGAAAAAAAAATGAGCAGAGAACATTAAACCCATATTTTTCTTGGTTCAGCAAAGTTTTGGCATTAAAGTCATTAGTTTAAAAAAAGTATATATATACATATATATAATATAAATGGTTTAATGTTCTGTGGTGTATATTTCCTCATTCAGATATGAAGTTAACAGCTTTTAGTAATGGCTGTAGCATTGCCCATAACTTACAGAACTTATGGGGAGTAGAGGAGGTGGATTTTTGTCATTAGTTGTAGCTAATGGGGCTATTTATAATAGAATCGTTATCCCCGGAAAGACACGGCTTTTAACTCCTCGCCGGGGGACCGGGCAGCGCCCGGGGATCTGGCTCAGCCCCCTTTGCCTTTCCCAGCTGGGGAAGGGGCAAAATGTGCGGAGCTGGAGGGCAGCAGCCTGACAGAGCACTGCCCTCTCCCCCAGCCCCGAGTGCCTGCTCAAGGGTCCGGCTGACCCTCCTCATGCCCCCTCCAAGGCCGTAGCCCCTTCCCCTGCCCCCGCCTCACTTTGCCTTCCTCCCCCCTGGGC